TGTGTTTCCCTCAAGCTTTTTTGCTGATGAACACTGATGGCTGTGGATTGTACTGCAACCCCAGCTGGAGGTTTTTAGCTTTCTCTGCTCTTTTCTGTTTTTCCTTGACACAGCATAGTAGGATAGTTTACTGGACTGTCTGTGCAGTAGGTTTGGGGGGTACATGATAGTCCACTTAATAAGGTTCAGTAGAATGATACATCCTGCAATGCCATGAATTCCTTCTTTTTAAAATTTTTACATTTTTTTTAGTTAACCAGTAGGGTTGAGGTTAGAGCCAGAGAGAGTACTGAAGTTATTTTTCATGTTCATGTAGCATATAGCTCGTGTAGGCCATGTATGGAACCTGGCACAGTAGGTGCCTGAGCTGCAGTAACCTGTGAGCACTTAAACAAAATTAATTCAGAGCACTGATTTACAAGAATTGTGTTTCTATATTGTTGTCAAACTCATCAACTTGATGTCTTCTAGGTGCGTAATCTCACTTACATGGTGACCCGGAGGGAAAAAATCAAGAGATCTGTTTGCAAAGTTCAAGAACAGATATTTAATATCTACGCAAAGCAGTTGGAACAAGAAAGAGTTTCAGGTATGCTTCAGTGTTACATTTTTCACATAATGCCACAGGCACAAACATTGACAGATTTAGTTACAGGCTACTGACTAATTTTGAAGGACAAACAGGACCTTGTTTGTTCTCATTAATATCTTGTGTAGCCCACCATATATCAGCAGATTGGAAAAAGAGAATCTGTGTAGCTCTAATGGTGGGCATATTGCTGTAGAAACTGTAAGTCGTGTTGTTATCCATGGGGCACTGAGTGGCTTGCTGCTTCAGACCCTTTCTGGTGTGATTCTTCAATGACTCCTTATGACAGAGAGACCATAACTTGCATTCAAGTGCCATATGGTACCTTGCCAGTCTGTGGTTTATTAGTGCTGCTGCATTAGTGTTTAGTATGTGCTTCTTAGCATAACAGAGGGCAGTCTAAATAAGTGAATTATGAAAAGGCAGCACTGTCATTTTGACACTACGTGGGGGTTTTTTCTGTGTCACTGACAGTAGTGATTTCTCAGAAGGATGATGACTTACTAACAAGCTACTGCATTAACTAAGACCATCCTTAAAGTATTCAGTATCTAATAAACCATATTTTAGCTTGCTCATTCTTTTTTCCCCTTTTTTTCTGTGTCTTGGGAGATATAACAGTGCCAGGATTTATATTTGCTACAGGTGTAAGCAGGTGAAGCACAGCTATGGGCAAGTAAACTACACATAGTAGTATGTTGTGAAAACATGACGTAGCCATATAATCATGACATAAAGGTGGTGGACAGGCAACCAGATACCTGTTGATGCTGAAGAACATGTCCAGCATGAGAAAGAGACTTAAAATAGGTACATTGAAAAGTGATCTTAACACAGAGAGGGAATTGCTTGGCCTTAACTTAATTTGTTTACATTTAGGTGTGCCTTCCTCATTCTCCTCAATGGAAAATGTGGTGTTGTTCAATAGTCCATCTTTGGGCCCCAACGCCCCTAAGATAGAGGATCTGAAATGGCACTCAGCATTCTTCAGGAAGCAAATGGGCACATCTCTATCCCACTCCTTGAAAAAGCCACATAAGAGAGACAGAGTAAGAAACGGCTCTGGGAATGACAGCAAACCCATGTTGAGGCAGCCCAGCCAAAGGGAAGGTGGTGCAGCTCCAGGTAACTTCTTAAACTTCGACAAGACCTTTGCAGAAACAAGGATTGTATCAGCACAGCAGAAAAATGGCATAGTTATACCAGACCACAGAAAAAGAAGAGATGATCGTCCACAGTGTGAGGTGATCAAGGGAGAACTAAAGGAAAAGATGTCTAAACACAACCCCAAACCACTGAGACCCACAGAACTCTCTCAGAGGCAATCAGAAAATAGAAGGTCTGTGAACCACTCCAGTGGTAGGTCAGTGCCTGGCACGCGGAGGGATATAGTGCCTAAATGCAACGGGAGTCTTGTCAAAGTAAACTCTAATCAGACAGTAGTTAAAGTGCCTACGACACCCACGAGCCCAGTGAAAAACTGGGGCGGATTCCGAATTCCAAAGAAGGGGGAGAGGCAACAGCAGGGCGAGAGCCTGGAGGAGACCTGCCGCCAGAACTCCAGCTACTCCTACCTGGGCATGGGCAGAGTTTCACCCAAGGATAGGGCAAAAAGCAAGCTAAAGCCTGACAGTGAGAATGATGGGTACATCCCTGATGCTGAAATGAGTGACTCGGAGACTGAAGTGGCTGAAAAAAAGTGCAGGCAGCAGAGGCTTAGTCCAAACAGCACTATCAGCAGAAGGACGGACATTATTAGGAGGAGCATCTTGGCATCCTGACTGGACACAAGGACATGGTGTCAACACTGTGGTCAGTTGAGTCACTGCCTACAAGCCAACTCCACATTATTTATTGGTGTGAGAGAGAAGAGTTCTTAGACATGGCTACAGACTGACAAATTGATAACCCATTATTCCCAAGATGTATAAATATGTTTACATGCACTTAAAGCTGTTGGGGTTTTTTCGCCACCCTATCCCCCAATTCTGTGAGAAGTTTGACTTTCATTTGTTTGCAACTTGCCTGGGTAAGCAGAGAAATTACATCACTACTAAGGTAGGATTTGTGAGGAACACTAAATAACTCACAAAAACCTTTTAGAAGGGGCTGGGGTGGGTGGGGGGATGGATGCTGCATTTGTCCCTTTTCTCTAAAAAGCACTGACAAAATTTTACTCTTACCCTACCTTCTGGAAAAGCACAAGCTCTTAATTTAACTAGTGTGTACTGAATTGAAGATGGTTGTTGAACCATACTGCACTGCTAAACCCCATTACAAATTATCACTTTCTTTGCATGGTGGCAGGTCTTTCTCCTCTCTTTGCAGAATGTCTTCTGTTGCGTTCAGTGTGAGAGTAGATGGCAGCTCAGAACCATCCATAAGCTCCAGAGTTTACATGTAAATACACCTGCGAGATGACCAGATTTAACCATGACGTTATACTGGAGAAGGAGGATGGAGCAGGTCAGGGCTGCAGCTGGTTTACAGTACAACAGCTTGAAAAGTCTCAGAGGGAACTCCCAAATGACTCAGTTCTGAGAAAGGCAGCCCATGGAATAACTCTCACCACTTAGTCAGTCACCTGCCTCTGGGAGCATGATGACAATTCAAGAAAAAAGTTTCTAAGGCACTAGGCAGTAGGATGTCCCAAAGCCCAGCACGTATGCACTAATGGTATGTATTGGGAAAGCCAGGCTTGTGACACTGAAGGGTTGCTTTAAAATGAATATATATTTTTAAATTGAGTAACATGGAAAGGCAATAAATTGTGATTAGCTCTTTACAGTCAAATGAAGAAAAAATATTTAATTCTATCCTGGACTAGATTTGATGGAAGAGGGAACTCATATTCTGATTGTGTACTTTTTTTTTTTAGTAATTGCGAATTGCAATAACTAATAAGCTATTAGCAATAATATTAACAGATTATTAGGATGCTGTTTTGTATCAAGTAGAGTGCACACATAACAGTGGAATGTTATGAGCCTCTAAATTTTGGAATTCTGCATAGATATAAGTCAGGTATGTAGTGGTGATGAAGTTTAAGCAGCAGTGTGTTACAGAAAGGCAGAAAGAACTCCCTCTCCCTCCCTTTTCTGTTTCTAGCCTGCTGTTGCCACATCCATTCACTTTTTAATGTTACACTCTTGCCTCTGGAGCACAGAACATAGAAAACACAGTAGCACTCTGCCATAAATGAGTCTTCTAGAGGATTCAATTAAAAAAAAAAAAAAGAAAAAGAAAAAAAAAGGCTTATTAATACCCTATCTTGCTATGCAAGTTATCACTTAATTAAATCTTGCAGAGTGCATCTCTATCATTTGTTTTAAAACTCAGAAGTCTTATTCTATTGAGGAAGGGGAATTTTGTGTAAGATAGTGTACTTTTAAAACATTGCTGGTCCCAAGAAGTAAGAGTAAACTTCACAACTTAAGAGAAGTGAAAGTCAGACAGGGCACTGGTGAATCTGACGTTATGTGTAGTCAGCCTTGGGCTGTATTTAAAAGAAAAGTACTTATTTGATCAAACAAACACAGATAAAGTCAAATGCAGGTGAGTTCTACTGGACATACTACAGTGTTTTTTTTCTGTAAGAAAGAAGCTCATGACCATATAGGGAATTGTTTGTCAAGCCATAGATGGAACAATCTAAATTTTTATTCTAAGTAAACATTTAACCTCACACCAGTTTGAAAGAGGTACCTTGTTAATTTGCACTATTATGAATGCTAACATTGTGCAGAATTAATGCCTTATCTGTTTTGCTCCCCGATGTTTAGGTTAATAAGCTTTCTAATGTTTCAACTTAAGCTGAACCAAAACCAAAAAAGCTCTAAGAAGACTGCAGTATGACCAGCCCTGTAGGTTAGTTTTATCTCCCAAGCTTTGTGCTCAGCAGAAGAGGTGTTGTAAGTACAGCAGTGACAATACAAACCCACCCCTGTACTTTCTTGGGATAGAACCATTTGCTGAATTTCTGTTTCTAAGCACTATCTTTCCTTGTGCAGACTGACCAAGAGATCTTTGATTATGATTGGTGTGTTCTGTTAAACTGTAGGCTAGTTGAATTTCTGTAAAGTTGCCTGGAATGCCATTTGTTAGGTTATAAACTCACACAAATCTAAATGAAGGGTTATACGTGTTGTGTACAAATCTTAATTTCAGAAATTTGAGAAAATTGTCATTACATTTGTAAAACCTTGTACAGAAGATTTTTCACTATGTGCCTAGCTTTGGTGTCCATTCAGCTGAAATTAATTAAAAAAGATGCATGAAGAGAAACAGATAGAACTAAAAAGTATATGTAGAGATGACTATTTTATATTACATGGCCCAATCCTGTATTTATTTTCTCCCTTTTTTGAAGTATTTATAAAGACCTAGTTGAAGACAGCTGTATTTTTTGTTAAAATATTCAGTAGAATTGTGCCTTTTTGTCTGTATGTGAATAAATGCTGTACATTTTTGCAGTATCCTTGCCAGCAGTGTTTCAGAATTTGCAGTAGTTGTTTGGGTTTTTATAAACACTTCAGTGCAGAGTGCACAGGGGTGTAGGGCTGATGGCTGGACTCCATGATCTTGGAGGTCTTTTCCAACCATGATGATTCGATGATTCTATGATTCTGAAAATCTAAACAACTTTCATGGTTAAAATAAGCATTTAATTTGGATTTTTACAGGTATAAAAATGTACACTGCAGTTGCAAGATCATGTGGTGTTTTTTGTTTGGTTTTTGGCTTTGTTTTCTTTTTTTCAGGAATAGGGTAGAGTCTTGCTACTCAGAGCTGCGCCTATCCCATCAACAGAAATTTCTGTGCTTTTTTTCCTTGAGGTCCTCAAAGAGATGTTGCTTACCTCAGATAGTTTACCTTTGTTGATACATAATGTCCTTCTAAAGTCCATAATCTTCATACATGTTCCACTGGAAGAGGAACATGAGGTTTCTTACCTGTAGATCTTCAAGTACCCTGAATGTACATTCATGCCCTGAACTGCCTCTAGTCAAGCAATGCTGACAGAGACCATTTGCTGCTAAAGCAGGATCTCTAGAAGACAAGGGCTGAAGGGCACAGTAGGTCCTTTCCCCTTCCTCTAAATTTAAGATGTAGAAACATGGCATGGACTTGAAGCAAAGCAAGAAAAGGGCAAGGTTGTGAAGGCAGGTGTCTGGCAATACACCTGGAAAAACAGCTATGGGTAAATAATTTCTCTCAGAACTGAGTTTATCACATGCTATCATGTTGTGGACAGCTGCAAGTGGCACTCCTCAAAAATTTATTTCAAAGAATAAAGATGAAAGGCTGACCTTCCTAAAAGTTACTAGTACAAGCTCTTCAAGGCATGAATAAAAGTCTGAAAGAGATTGTGGCTGTTTTATACATCTTGCTGACAGCAGCCTTTCTGAAAGACCCTGCACGGCTGGGGTTGCCTGAGTAAGACTGGGCCAGAGCTGAGGGCAGCTTGCTAACTACTTAAAAAGAATATGAAAAAGCTTCTTCTATGCAGTGATAGATCTTTCAAAATCTGGCCAATGTCAGAAGGTATTGGACTCTTGGGAAGACCCAAAATGAAACTCACACTACTTTAATAGTCAGTTTCTCTCACTTGTTGAATGGAAGTAACTATTCACCTAGAAACTTTTCCTAAATAAACATTGCAAATACCAAAGTTATACTCAATGGGAAGCATTAATATCACACTAGGGAATCTTTAAAACACTCAAAAGTTGGTGTTGGGGTGGGAAAGGAAGGTAGGGAAATGAAAACTTTTCAGTGGAAGAGTGACAAGAAATACACACATAGCAGCAAGTGAAAAACAATGAAGGCAGATGGGTGAAGAACCTGCTGCTCCATTCCATGAAACAGTCTAGTCTCAAGAGGGAAAG